AACCTATGGCTTTACCCGTATGGATTAGGATAAAAAGTAACCTGTGATAATTTAGCAAATTATTAGATCTTTCCGCGTACCAAATTTAATTACAATTCATTCAGTAAACTTGACAAATACAAACTCATCTCTACAAACTTTCACATTTATATAAATCTAATATTAACTGGATAGTAGATTTCTAAACATAGATATTTTAGAAATTTTCTTGGCACTGTTCAACAAGGTAAAATATCTTAACTAATAATTAGATTCTCTGTAATAAATTCCGCTTACTAATAAGCCGTAATGTAGCGAGATGATCACCAATAAATGACTCACTAATATCATCAAGTAAACTATCCAAGACTCAACTAAAATGGCGAAGAGTACTCTATTTATTTTGATATCCCTTAATTACCAACACATTTTTAACAATTTCAATAGAAACAATCAGAAGCTCCCTCCACATTCGATGCCCTCGCCCAGTGCTCCGGGCGCCTCAATAACAGGGGCAAGTTTACATAGCGCCAATTAGAGACGGCCCGCGGCACATCGCGGGACAATGCACTGTACCAACATGCTAATTGTATCAACGTTGCTACAGAAGCCGCTACACGTCGCATTATTACCGGGATGTTTTTTTTTTAATGATCGAAAATAGTAACCCAGCTTGCGCTATCGGTGTACGATAGCGGGGTACGAGAGAATGATAGAAAAGGATAAAGTCAAGCCAATTGGTCCATTTAAATTTAAATTAAAAATATAATGTTATATTTCTAGCTGCCAATACGTCTATTACTTAGTTTTGTTAGTTAAAAACCCCAAAAGATATAATTATATTAGACACAATTCGAAACACTAAAAATATTCCGTTCTGTGCTTTCTTTGCCTCCAGTCAAACTGTTTATAATTACACTTCCCCATCCAAAGGTTGCCTGGAAGAGCTCGCTATAAGACCGCTCATTATTTTCTCAGTGTAATATTTTCTTGTAATTGTTTATATTTATAATAAGTTTACTATTGTAATATTATGGAGGAAACAATAAAGAGTATCTATCTTTGTTCTACACCTTTCTTCATCTCTCTTTCTCTCTCTCTCCGCTATTTTTTCTGTCTCCTTTCTAACGTCTACCGCTGCTACTAATGCTCGGAGTAATACCCTCTTTTTTCTTCTCATTTCCTTTTCAACAGTCTTACCTGAGTTGTCTCGCCAGAATACGATCACTATCCTTTCCGATAAGTGTCGTAAGTTGCGACTAAGGGAACTTAATAGTCGAGGAATAGGCAGCAACGTCCTTCTTAACTAAGTCAACTAAGGCAACTATTAGCAAAACCCTCCTTATGAGGGAGGCCTATGTTCAGCAGTGAACAGTTAACGGTCGATATGTTCATAATAAATAAAACTACGCTCCTTATATATATATATATATATATATATATATATATATATATATATATATATATATATATATATATATATATATATATATGTCTATTTAATCATTTTTCAATAATACTGTAACTATCTATACCACTGGGGTGGCAAACAAGCATACGGCCCACCTGATGGTAAGCGATTACTGTAACCTATGAACGCCTGCAATTCCAGGGGTATTACGCGCGCGTTGCCGACCCTGAAGAAATCTCTTTACCCTCCATTTGAAGACTTTAAATTTATCATAGACTTTTATGATTCATGTAGAAGCAACCTAGAAACTAGCGCACCGAGTGGGTACTTACATATGTACCTATGTGTATATTTTATCGTAATTTTTTTTTTCATTGTTCATATACGTAAGTTGTTTATACATCTAATGCATATACAAAAGTTCTTTATACTGTGTTTAAACCTGTGAAGTAAAAACATTTTGGTGTGTAGATATTTCTATAAATGTATATCTTTCTTTAAACTTGCTGGTTACTCTGTCATAGAATGTTTAATTTGCTCTTCTAATACAATTAATTGTATATTACAGTAATATTTACGTATTTATTTATGTATGTATATATTTATTTATTTAACATATTATGTATATGTTTCTATTAATGTAATTAACATAATAATCTAAGATTTGAATATATTAAGTAAGTACTACTTTTTTTTTTTTTCTGAATGTGTTTGCTGTTGGCCGTGAGTGGCCTTTACAGCTTCACCGGACGCGAATGCAGGGGCGAGTGCTGATGGCACTCCAAGCCCGCGAGAGGGGAGCGACAGAGGTGTCGACTCTTTCTTATGGACTGCGCGTACTACTTTTTATATTTCCTCGATTTAATAATGTACCGCCCACTTATTTCTCGGTTTGCTCAATGGTTGACTGGTAAAGAACACCGTCCGGTGTTAAGCCCGCCATATGTACATAGAGTTTCACTGTGCATTAAAGTTTAAATAAAATAAAATAAATAAAAATATTTCTCTATTTTTACTTGCAGTCAATGCAATTCGAAATTCAAATAAAGTATTACCGCGACGTGGGTCATGCAAACGGGCTTCAAACGAGCGAACGAACAAATATTGTCGCAACGATAATATGTAAACGCACCGCCTTCGGAAATAGGTACTAAACTATGACAAACACCATGCACTAAGACCAGTTAAGGCAAGCGTATTCTGCTTGGAAATACTTTTTTCAAATAAAATATTCACATTTAAAGAGGTAGCGAATAGAATTAGCGCGATAATAAAAAAAAATGATAAAATAAAATATACGTAACTAATTAATTTATAATACATTATAGATACGTATACTATAATACAGAAATAATTTACATGCTCCTATAATAACAATTACACATACTATCATCCAGACGTTTTTGGAATTTCAGTTTTTGGAAACTGTTTGGTTAAGTCGTCATGTATGGGATTTAAATATTAAAAATGGTTTACAAAACTGTTTGGTATCTAAGCTAGGTACCTACTTACCTTCTTATCTTTGGGAGAAAATATTGTTAGTAATGGATTTTAACAACTCTTAATTTGATAGTAAATAAATCTAAATTGATAGTAATATATCAATATATCAGATCGACCTCCACGCGGTACTCTTTGAATTCCATCGTGGTTAATTCTTGATGTACTCGTCACGATGAGTCAACTAATTTTCTTTTATCCTCATCTATCATCCCTAACTGGTGCCTCGAAGCATACACTGTTAGCGCAGGTGCGGTTACTATTCCATTATCATCCATTTAAAGAACCTATCTATATTATCTTCTACTTAACAGATTTGTACTCAACACTTAATATTTTACTTGAATAATCTAAAAAGTCTATTCCAAGAGAGAATTATCAAGTATGAATAGAAAGAGAATGTAATGTTTCGCCTTGTATGCTATTGAAAGAAATATTTTACATCCATAATACTTCACTGCCAGTTATGGGTGAAGCGTGTTCGTCCATTTGCATGGTATCAATAATGCAGGGGACCATGTTTAAAGGTCAGTTGCCCACTTTTCTCTATGGTACTTTTTCTATTACGTACACGTACATATCTTATTATTGTCCCAAATGACTCAAGGGCCTCAGCAGAGTCTCATTTAAAAGCTAAAAAGAGGGTAGGTGCTGCCCATGCCTCGCCCTCTCTTAATCACCTCTTACGACACCCACGGAAAAGGAAGGGGTGGCCTATTCTATGCCGGGACCATACGGCGATTAGTCAAATATTATCATAATTTTGTGAATTGAAACTCCCGTTGTCTATGCGGAGGATAAAAACTGGTTGTTGGAAAGCAAAATCTACTTGTAAACACGCGACTTCCAATTTAAATTATTCAATATTTAATATACGAAATATTTCGTCCTTTATTAGTACGTAGATTCAAATATGAAGTCGCCTTTTTTATTATGCAGTTTTGACATATATATCCTTAAACACATCCATACACATCTTGGTTTGTCTACCTTTTATGCATCTACAAAAGTCGATTGCTTGGGTACCTCTGTCCCATTCGTGTTTCAACCATAAAGCAGTTGTGTTTGCATGGCTGTGTTTCGGTTTGAAGGGTGGGATATGGCGTGAATTTACTGGGTACGGAGGAATAACACCTAAGTCCTCAGGAATGGCAACGCATGGGGGGTATCATGGGTGAAACAGTATACTCTGTTATGTCCATGGTACTGCTCATGACTATAGGTGACGGTTACCACTTTCCATCAGATGGGCCGTCAGCTTGTTTGCCATTCTAAGATGAAAAAAGAAATTATCCGGTTATTCATATATATATCTGGTGATTTCTTCAAACAAGCTTCATATCAGTCGTTAACTATCCACTGCTGAACATAGGCTTCCCTCTATCAAAGTTGCCAGTACTTGCCAAACTTGGCCAGAAGGTTGGCAACTGCAATTAATTTTTGATGATATTTTAAAAGGAACGCTGCTATTCACCCCTTGACCATTTAGTTCCCTTAGTCGCCTCTTACGACACCTACGGGAAAGGAAGCGTTCTTCAAACAATAGGCTTATCTAATTATGAAAAATATTTTTACTAAATTAAACCAAATTAAATAATTACTCAAACGCTTATTTTATTATCACAAGAACAACATAACAATAACTGTGTTTTAAATAGTTATATTAGGTACTCGCAATACAATAAGTATTTACACGTGTAGGTACTTAATTAGGGAATACCAGTAACGATTATATTTGGAGACGGCGAGTTAACATAAACATTATTAGACCCATACTTTTAAAGATGACTTTTATTGAAAACAGAAAATAAATTATTTTTTTCTTCAATTTGCAACACCAGAAAATGTTCTATTGATAATATTATGGTCCGTATAAAATAACCTATATGTAGGTATGCCATTTTATGTGGCGAAACATAATGAACATCTTATAAACTTGACAAATGCAACATCTTATCTACAATGTTTCTAGCATATAAATTTAATTTCATTTTCCATCCTTTGCAGTGTACGATATAATATATATATATATATATATATATATATATATATATATATATATATATATATATATATATATATATAAAAAAATGAAAACTTATGTTGTCAAAAACGATCAACATAAGTTTTCCATTTATGAATATACAAGAAAGAACAAGTCGTATCTATTTAATTATTTTAGGATACTATTTGGAATATAGGTATAAACAAAAACAAAAACCTCATTGGCTACCGGCCATCTCCCACGGCACTCTAAAAAACTAACCTCTTATTTAACACTTCTTAGATATTTTATCACTGGACAATCACAAATTCACAACACATTTTATCTTCACGGCGAAGTATTTTCAGGGCGTGCATTCACAAAATAAAAAATTTTAATATAATAAAGTTTAAACATACATTGTGTAAATAGAGAAGTATACCAACCAGGCGCGAAAGAGAAGGTACGAGTTTAAATCCCACCCACATCAAAAATTTTCAGTAACTGAATAACTTAATATTTCTACACCAACCCTTACTACTTAGAGGGAGTAGAATGTAGCAATATACCCTGTCAGATTGACCCCAACACCAAATCATCAAACACCAATCCCTCTTGGAAACCATTGTAGTCAATTGTTGGTAAATTTGTCACAAAAGACTAATCGACTTGAATCCATCTATTATCCCTCACTGGTACCTCGCCTACGTATATCAACAGCGCAGGTGGAGTTACCATTCCTTTATAACCCATAAAAAACTACACTATATACAACAAAATTTCGTTGACATCTAAAATTGAACCTTAATTTCAACATCACTAAAGTAAATTACAACATTGGATTTGCAAAGTTATCTCAAACTTCCCTGTCTCTTTCCAGTCGTTTTGTAAAAACAATAAAAAAAACCTAAAGCGAGCTCGCATCGTTGCATATCTTATTGAGAAGATCCTCTTATATGGCAATACCAATCTACACTCTATTCCAAATTTGAAATCTCAACAAAAATTTTGTTGACGTTTAGAAGAACCGTTACGGGACTTCCTATTTCGAATTGTGTAGTTGTAGAAACAATATTTATTGACTGCCATTTCAAGTGGCGATCTCAGTTTTATCATTAAGGCAATTCTTATGTAATTTTGATGTAGTTTTATTGTTTACATGTTTATTTTATTATTTATACAATGTATATTATTTTATACAGGCTGAAACAGATTTTTTGCATCCTTTGAAGGGAACGAGATAAGAAATATGAATTGAAAAACGACAAATAATTTTGAGTATCTCATACCAATACGGCGTGTTCAGCTTTTGAAATAGTATCGGAAGCACAATTTTGTCATTTTATATTATTTTGAGCCTCCTATAGTAACATGACGGGTCTATATTTAAATACACTTTCGGGTCTTATCGCGATAAAAAACATTTTGTAGGTAAACAGTACATGGCTACTTATTTATTGCCGATATTTCTGACCTACATAATCCTGCGTGACCACGACGTGGTACAATCCTTCTCGAAACGTCGATAATGAAGCAGGTATGTAGGTACTATTTACCTGCAAATATTTTTCGTTGTGTTAAGTCCCGATAGTGCATTAAAATGTGTGTAAATAACGCGAAAGTTTAAAATTAGTAATAAGGCGTCCAGCTGTTAAATTAGCAGGCAACATTTTTTTTTTTTGTTTTTTGACACATTTCTTACTCGTTACTGGTAAAATACTCTTTTGAAGGGACGCTAATGACTTCGATTTCGCTCTGTATAAAAAATCGCTTATGTTTAAATTTTAACAAGTTATACAAATATTACTTAGAGACATATTTAAGAGGAGGCTGGATGGACAGTGCCCATACCATAATTATACCCATATATCCGAGCTAAGCATTGCAAAGATGTGTATATGCGCTTTATAAAAGGCCAGCCCCCTCCCCCATGAAAATAACCTTAACTACGCCAATGATGTCACTATTCTTGACATATTTATTCCGTGAAAATATAGACACTCTTAATCCGTGCAATACCTAAATATTTTACATTCCAGTCCAGTCCAGCAACAAAACAACTAATCAAGCACAATAATTGTGTCTGCGACGACTTGGTCTCCCTGTCAGCTGGTATGGTACAGGCCTGCGAGTGCATCCTGCAGAGCGCGCAGGCACGGCAGCGTTGATGTGTAACCACCCGCTTTCTCTGTATCATTCTCTGCTCTGTGTACAATGGAAAATGTTTTAATTGCATTTCTTAAATGCTATAAAAAATGATATTTCTCTTTGAAAAATACTACTATTTTGGCATTATATATTAAAAACAGGCTTTTCTGGAATGTATCCCACAAATAATTATAATATAAACATAACATCATGACAAGACAGAACAAAAGTCCCTCAGAACGATTACTGTATGTAAATTTTTATTTATTTGAATTCATGTATTCCAAAAAGCTCAAGGTGTTCAATAGAGCGAAACGGTACTTCACCACGAGACAGACACATAAAATAATAATTACACAAGTCGCAAATCCAGCCCCTTATATAGTACTGATTTCATCTGTAAGCCGAAGCAATTGGACACCAGTTTGATCCTCTTGATTCGGTTTTAAGACAGGCTACGAAAATTGTAGACAATCCCAAACTCACAGGCTGTAACAAGCCATTAAATCTAAGGCGAAACTTTGGCTCCCTTTGTGTATACTACCGCTTGTATGACAGATTGTGTTCTGAGGAAATATTTAAAATGATGCCCACAGCCACTGTTTATCATAGCACCGTTCGCCATTAACAGGAAATTCATCCTCATATGCGTAACTAAATGGATGCGTACATTGCAGTTTCAGACTTTTCTCTTATGAAAACTCAGGCTGCGAAATAATGAGCTCCTTACCTTAATGAGATTTGCCCTAGATACTACAGTATAAGGGTCTTCAAAAAGGATGTATTAAGGTTTCTTCAGTCACCAACATGCACATAACACCTCTAGTGTTAGATGAGCCATATGCTTGTTTACCACCTTTGTGGTATAAAAAAATAACAATAATAAAAATTTCATAAAAAGCTTTTAATATAAATACTAACTTCACATGCTGCAAATAACCTTCATTGATGATTTCTTCAATAGTCGGTGGGTCTGGGCCAATTCGGTCAGGCGTAATTGGTGGTTCGTATCTGTACAGTGGACCTTCCTCTATCACAGGCAAATGTGACTGGGCTGAACCGCACGTAAACTTCACACCAGTTGAGAATTGAGTCACCTGAAGAATATTGAATACATTGCAAAAGAAATATAAAACAGTGTACAATAGAGATTTTTTTTTATTTCTAGTATATGAATACCAGACGCATACATATAGACATACACAAATATGTGTCAGGTATCCATATACTTAGATGGATGTTCCGAGATTGACAAAATTAGGTAACTTATTCCCAGGTTCAATAGGGTACTTCTTACAACAGCAAATTGCCCTCATTCCATAATATTGTACTTTAGTAATTCATTATGTAATAACTTCAGGACGATAATTAAATTCGCATCGCAATTAAATTTAATGTTATCCGTTAAGGTTTTAGAGGGGCAGGATGGACAGCACCAGAGGCGCCATGTAGACTAAAGTCAACCCTGAGTGTGAACATAACTTAATATCTGTATTAATAATAATACAATAATAATCTAATACTATACCCTATATATTGATTATCATATTGATATGCAAGGTAGTCAGTTAAACACTGATTTATTCCTCGAAAGAATAAATAGAACAGATTGTTACCAGCCAGTACTTACAATATTATTAGTAGCCAATACGTAGACATAATATACTACATTTATTAAAGTGGTATACATGCCAAATAATATTCACATGACGAAATTCAGGACAATTAGTAGTCCCATTGAATTGCCAAGAGATAACAAACTTACTTTCACATTTATAATGTTAATAAAGAGTAAAAATAAGGATACTATGATTGACAACCCTAATTTAATAACTGGCCTCTTTGTAATAACCCTTAAACATACCAACGGCAAAGGAGGCACTGCCTCTTCTTGTTTACTAGCAACATTCTGTGCAAATGTATTCAATATCTCCTTTGCATCACCATCAGCAAACATCAACTCATCAATAAGTGCTTCTTTCTCCCTGATCTTCTGTTTCTTGGCCTCCAGCTCTAATCGAACTACTTCAGTACGACGTAATTCTTCCATTTGTTTCTCTATTTCTAGAATTTCTTCAAGTTCTAATTCCTCTTGACCTATAAATTTATTGCAATTAATTATGTGAAAGTAATCTAGAGTACTTTTAACTGGTAAAATACTAACTAAAGAAATGGAACTGAATAAATAAAAAAAAAAGGTCAAAGGAGATCCACAGGATACACTAACCTATTTAAGAAGATAATATAAAACTATTCTTAAATAATTACAACATACTTGTATTGAGCACAAATCATGTTACTGATAAGCAGACATGTCCCTAGCAACCCAGATGCTAGCACTACATAATATCAGATCACTCTCCAAATAGAGCCCTTAGGAAACTATCATAATTAATTCCTGGTGAACTAACCACAAAGGGCCAACTAATCGGACTTTATCCTCACTGGCACCACACTAACATAAATTATTACCATTTCCACTATTTCATTATCAAATTAAATCATATTTATTGGCATGCTACATGGTACAATAAGAAGTTACATATACAGGTACATAACATGCAGCACCCCTCAGAGATATGCAAATGTTAAACTGTATTTAGTCTACATTATATTACAATTATAAAGTCCAAACATCTTCTAAATTACTATTAAACCAAACATTATCATTAGGAATACCACTAGAAGGTGAGACACTGTTTGAAACTACTAAATCTTATCAGTATCATCTTTTATAAGTTAAAATGGAAATCATTAGCATACTTACAACCTTTAACAAAACCACTTACCAATTTTAACCTTATTCTTCATTATGATTTCTCTGTTATCTTTTTTGTACTGTTCTATCCGCTTATTGGTGTTCACCACATCTATATTATTTGTTAAATTAAAGATTATAGTCTCTATCTCTTCCAAATAATCATTGTATTCTCTCAATGTTTCAAAATCTTCCTCCTTTTTATTGTAATCCTTGAGAACTCTTTTACGGATGTCTATTTCCTTCTCGACCATGGGATCTTCGAACATTTGAACTCGGAAGTTGCTTCGTCTGAGTGGTACATTGCATTCGGGGCATGATCCAGAACCTGAAGTGATTGAAGAAATAATTTATTTAAAATATACAAAATCCTTATATTCACTAACATTATGTATATACGAAAGTTTGTTTTTTCTTAGCAAAATCACACAATGTATCATGGAATTTAGTATGCAATATATCATAAAATAGAATACAGTATTCGAGAAAGGGAAAAATATGGACTACATTTGCCTAGTATTATTAATTATTACAATTAAATAATAACCTTTAAGAAACAGCAAATCAACACAACTTTCGCATAATGTATGACCACACACATTTACCATCAATTTCAGAGATGGATTTCTATACTTAGTTGTTTTACAACGTGGGCATGCTTGGTCGTCCATGGTAACTTATAAAGAAATTGTTAAAATTGGAAGATAAAAGCAAAATTTAGAGAATATTCAAAATCTTTATTCGCTTCCCGCAAGTTCATTGAATTGACTTATTTTTTTCTTAATATTTATCGGCTTCGCTATTGCCAACCATAGATTATTAACAAAGCTCCATAGACCGTCATCTCAGTTTTAATACAAGCACGTACTTAGCTTTGCCTCTTATTAAGACAAAGAAATAACTCTATCTTGCAAGTAGTATCTAACTGCGTACTGTACGTGATTAACAATTATATATCTGTGCTAGTCGACTAAAGCTAAGAAAAAGGAATTACATAGAAGGAATGATAAAATTGTCAATTTATAGCAGGCTAGTATATAGAAAATGTTATAAGTCCGTGTAACGCTGCCAAATTCAGATACAAGCTGTTTGCATACTTTCTACATAAACTGTGTCAAATATATAATCTAGTAATATAGTAATAGCAACTGATGGTGTATCTTTCGTCCTCTTTTTACTAATATATTTACATAAGCAACCAGTTTTGCAATTTTTATTTTATCATTCCTTCTATGTAATTCCTTGTTCTTAGGACCAAACAAAACATATAGATATGATACAACATTTGGGTTTAATTATAAGAATATTTAATTCCGATAAAATGAAAATTAGATTGTCTGTTTAGTCTATTCACAAACTTTAATAAGAAAATTACCAATTGCTATTAAATATTGTTGAAAGTAACCAATAACAGTTCAGAATTTTGACATACATTTCTTTGACGTTTGACGTCAATGTGAAATTGTAATTGAAAACAGTTATTTTCATTTACAATTTGATACAACTTGAATTTTTCATGTTTTACTCTTCGTTTTGTGTATTATTTATAATAAAAAACAATAGCATAATATGAATTTAGTGATAAGACAAGTTCTAAATAGGCAAACTTTTAGACTATGTGACAAAATTACATACAAATGTTTACCAAAACATCTTCCTGTAACCTCAACAAACAATGTTACACAATTTCGGAATTACTGCCAAGATACGAGCGATACAAGGAAGTTGCCTCCTTTGATGGAGTTCCCACCAGTCGTGTGGCCATCCTTTATTAAATTCATTAAGAACTGGATGTTTGCGAACTTCATAATTCGGCCTTACTTTGAACCAGAATTTAGTCTTGGCGAATTCATCGAGGCTTCCAAACACGCAGTTCAGGTTCAATTACTTATTATATTTTTCTATTATACAATTAGTAACAAAATAATAATAAGCATTTCCTATTTTTATACCAAATAATCTGGATATTAAATTTCTTTGTGTTTTAAAAATATAGATAACTAATATCTCAGGCAGGTTGTTTCAGATGCCTTACAAAGGAGCGATTTCAAGTCACTTGAGGGTCTAGTGGAGAAAGATGCCATTGCAGCATTAAAGACTGCTGTATCAAAACTCTCTATGTCTCAAAGACAGCTGTTAGCGATAGAGAAGGAAGATATTTTCTATGCCTTCCCTTATCAGGTAATTGTTCTATTTGTCATCATCATAATGATCATGAAAAAGATACCCTCATGGTTTTATTTCTAATTTTCCTTCTCAATATTCTGTAGTAGTATGATAATGTAATAATAGATTTTTATTCTATTAACCAAAACATAATGCTAATAAAAATTCATAATAAAACATATGCTGAACTTTACAACAAAAAGATCTGCTCAGATATAAATATTTCATCTACAGATATCAAACTTATATGGTAGGCGTACTATAAGCATTCTTTTATTACATATGCAGAAATCTGGCAATTATCTCTAAAGCCTTAAGACAATTTTTAATAAGCACTTACATAGAAAAAAAAATTAACTCAAAACTTGCTCTTGTATTTTGACTTTATTCATCCTCAGCTTATATTTATAAAAATTACAAGTGGGTACTTGTAAAAATCATAATGTAGGTAGATTTAAATGGATTTTAAATGGAAAAATTAAAAAAAAAATTTGGGACATAATTGCATTTTCTAAAATGAAATTGTATTTGTTTGTAACAACAATGATATAGAATCATTAAGATGCAAGTTTTCTTAGGTATTTTTCTTCTAGAAAAACAAGTTTTTAGGACATCTATTGCACAGTTATTATAAAATATTTTTTGTGTGTCTTAGAATGGCAAATCATCCAGCAACCCACTTGATGAAAAGTAGTAACTATTACATATACAATTTAAATTTATTTAAATGAGATTGATCATGTTACAGATTTTTATTAATGGGTATTATATGAAACTGTGTTTGTTTGTCTTATCTATATGTCTTAATAACTTAACTAATAACTATGAGATTTAGTATACATAGTGCAGTGTTATGAGATTGAGAAATAATTAGGCTACTTTTTCATCCCAGTCAGTGAAGTCACACAGATAATGTCACAGACAAAAACCAGTAATATTCATACTAGATATACCATTTTTTAGATTAACACACAAATTTTGATACTAATTTATGCAAGCAAAGCCATAAGTTATAATTAGTCATTATAGTGACATTGTTATTCTATGATAACAAATGATGGATTAATAATGATTTCAGGTGGGTATTATGTTTGACGATGCAGATAAACGCTGGGTGGAAATCACTATGTGCTACCATGTGCTCAAAGGTCTGAAACATATGAAAGACACTGGTGACTTACCACCAATCTCTTTAGGGTAAGTTAGTATTATAATAGTAAAAATCTAATGTAGACTATTACAAAAAAAATTTTAGAAATAATTAATAAAATATACATATCTATAAATAGTGCTCATAAAATTATCCTCTATTACCATACTATTGAAGAAAAGATATTTATCAGGTGAATATATGAATTATGTCTATGGGCAACAGTTATCGCAAGTACCATTTAAATAAATAGTCAGCTCATTCACAAATTTCTATCAAAAATGTATTTACTTATTGTAGTTATAAAAATGTATAACTGAATACCATGTCATGTCTTCTAAACAAATAAGGATTTTAATATATGTCTAAATTATGGGAGTCCTATACACTATAATAGATATATTTTATATTAAAAAAAATAATAATAATTCTATTTATATATATTTAACCTTGACATGTGTCATCCTGCGTGTGTGAATATAACTTCCAAAAAATTTACCAATTTTTTTTTTTTATTTTGATTGTTTAAGAATATAGTCAGGACAAGATGACTATGTTTGATAAATTTTAATGAAAATCTATTAAATGTGAAGTATATTTAAATTTCTTATTTAATACTTGTGCTTGTTATAGATCACAACCAGAATATGAGGATAAAATATTCATTTTAAACTACAGATTCATTAGGGAATTCACAAAAGGAGTTGAAGACAGCTGGTGGGTGAACATAGTGAACCATTTTCAGCCACATTCGCTCATAAAAAAATAGTTTAAATAGTGAAAGGGCAAGTTTAATGCATGTTTAAGTTTATACAGTCAATAGTAAGAACATATGAAAATAAATAAAACAGTTTAATTGTTAAAAATAATTTTTTTTTATTGAATTTATTGCTTATTCATATTCTTGTATAAACATTTTGGAACTTGCAGTATTTTATCACAGTATATACTCATTATTGTAATTTTTTTATACCACAAAGTGGGCAAACAAGCATACAGACAGTCTGATGGTAAATGCCTGCAACACGAGGGGTGTCACGTGCGCGTTGCTGACTTTCTTAGTATTTTTTTAGTAATTCAAATAAAATTAAATAAATGCAACATACACGTTAATAAAAATAAAATTTTAAAAAGCATGGCAATAATCCTTGTAATGTTTTGAAAAATCTTTTAATGCATTTAAAACACTAGTTTCGTCACCTGAAACAAATTTATTTTAATTTATATTTGTATCGCCATTATTTTTATTGTTTTATTACCGAAGACAACCTCTATCCCACCAATTTAATCTTACTGGACAATGATATTTGTAGTCTCACTTATGGAGGGATTTAATAAGATTACATGGATTTTATGAGATCAATCCACTATTAATTCATCATACAGACAAAATTGGCCTTGCCAATGTTGAATCAACGTCTGTCAAAACATTTATTATATCTAGACAGGAAAAACCGCGTGGTCGACCTTCACGTGGTTAATTTTTTTTTAATTTATCATGATGAGCTAGCTCACCTGTTTTCATTCTCATCTATCATCATTCACTAGCGCCCCGCCAGTATATATCGATATCGCAGGCAGGGTTAACATTACATTTTCATCAAATAAATGTACTCACTTTGAAAGTAAATGGCGCTGAATGATAAATTTTTTATACAACTTAAAATGGCAAACAAGCTGACGGCCCACCTGATGGAAAGTGGTAACCGTCGCATGATGATGACATAATAGAGTATACTGTTTCGCCCATAATATGTTGCCATTCTTGAGGAGTAAGTTATAATGCCTAAATGCGAAACACAGCCATGCTTTCACTGCTTCACAGTAGAAACATGAATGGGACAGAGGTACTCAAGTAAACAACTTTTGTACAGTCTTCCTTTGGTATATGATATATAAGAGAATGACCAAAAGAACTTAATGGTTCCCTTGAACAGCAGCATCCAAAAGCCTAATATCTGCTGATGAAACCCCTCAATAGCGATAGACCAATGTTCAGCAGTAAACAGTTAAAAGCTGATACCATCATTAACATACAAACCTGCGGTTGAATCATACAATGATCTCTTCTCAACACCCCATTGAACTTTTATTGGTTTTTGTTTCTTCATAGAATGTTCAACATCTAAAAAACAATATTCAAAGAATTATTAAGTAAACAATTTAAGACATGACAATTTAATAATTGCAAATTGTTGTGGAAATAATATTAAAATTAATTAAAAACATTTTAAATGCTTGCATTTGGAAAACCTAAATTATTATAAATAGAAAAATTTTCCTTTGGATAATATTTTTTGTATGGTAGATAAGTTGTTGGAAATTAAATTGATCAAACTTAATAGGTTGAAATTAATAGGTTATTAATGTAATTTATAATTTTTATACTCCAATAAATAGCATACCACACAGTAGTAAGCTAATTATGATAATGATATTCTAATAATTGTGTAAAAAAAAAATCAAAACTGCGTAAATAAAATCTAAAATTGTTTAAATAATATCACTTATATTAGAACCCACATTTCTTACATGTCATTAGATGCCTTTTTGAAATTAACAATTACTACTGAGACCACAAAAAGAAAGAATATATAAGAATGATACTTTATTCTATTTAATTACCTCTATGTACTGCATCCAACAAACTACTAATATCAAGATTGTCTCCTAATCTTGTGCATAAGGCATTTACATATTGACTACCACCGGGCACAATCCTTGCTGAATCGCCTGTCTTTAGCTCGTAAGTATCATTAATAGTGGTAGAGCATTCTATCTGTAACACTTCATATGCAGCTTTTGATGACTGAGTAGAGTATCCTATTAATAGATTTTTATGTACATTGTAGGATTCTACTGTACATATAGATGAATAGATCTGTGGATTTGCATTCCTGTTGTGGAAAAAATATATAATTTTAGCATATGTTTAATTCTATAACAAATATTGAATGATTGATTAATATCTGTTTACATTTGGTATGTATTTAAAGATGCTCAATAGCCATTGATCATTATATATATATATATATATATATATATATATATATATATATATATATATATATATATAATTACAGTAGATATTTGAAAATAAATATAATGACAATGCATGAATAGCGAATTTCGCGTGGTTTATACATTTTTTAAAGACACAAATGGGACATAGCAGGATAAAAATTTTTTTGCAATTATATAGTACCTACATACCTGCTCCTTTATTGTTGACGTTTCGACATGGATTAACACTGTACGCCAGTGTCAGGGTACCCCAAGAGATTGCAGAGGCTGCCAGACGAAGACTCCTCTTACTTCAGTCATGTTGTGACCATGGCATGACGCAATGCATGTCAAAATATCAACCATAAAGATGCAGGTATTTATATAAGTTTTATTGTAATAATACATGATGTACATGTCTATAGGCAACAATTGCCACTATTCCAGCTTGTTTACCATTCTGTTTTATAGAAAAATATACATTAAACAAATCTTACCTATCTAAGTTTATCCTACACATATCCATAATTAAAACACAAAGATCCGGTTTGCACTTATACACTTGCTCTAAAACAAAATTCTCAGTAACACAGTGTTCTAACTTTATATCTTCTGTGGGGCAGTCAATTCCCAACATACATTTTGTATTTACTAATTCACAGCCATGTCCAGCGTAGAAAATGAAACCTGAAATTAAAATATTCCATGTATTTCAGAAATTCTATTAAAATAATGTGTATAAAGTAAATCAAATAAAAAATTATATATATCTATATAATATATAGTTGTGAAATCTATTTGATAAAAATCTAATTTAAATAATTTGTGTACCTTTACATCTTTCATTATTTCTTACAAATAAAAATTTGAACTTTGTACTCACAATATGAATCCTCTGGGATGTAGCTAAATATTTTAGATAATATTTCTCTTAAATCACTGCTAGCTGTGTTTTTTATTGTCACAACAACAAATCCTAAGTTCTTCAGGTTTGAAGATAGAGAATCACAATCTATGGATGGTGTTGCCAATTTTGCTAAATTTACATATTTATCATTTCCTATGAGTATGGCAACTTTTGACTGAGGTATATAGTATTTTAGTATTGATTGAACATTTTCTGCAGCTTCTTTTAATCTTCTAAAGTTCTGTACAGTACATCCTCCTCTGTATAACATTTTCATTAACAATTCTCCAGGTTTACTTGTTTCATTGAATGATATTCTGAAAACATTTATTTTTATACAATTTAAAATGATAAAAATCTGATAGCCCACCTTATGAACAACAATAACTGTCGGCTATAGTACATATATATGATATGATAGATATCACAAAGTATACTGTGTCATCCATGACACCTTTCAAGTGTTACTATTCTTGAAGACTAAGTATTATGCTTCCATCTAATTGTTTTTTTACTATTAATGCTTAAAAGCTTATATATTGTTTCTTATTTTTTTCTTATTGTCATAAAATTCTTAACTGAAGTAAACAATATGTTGTATAAACATTGACTCAAGGTTTAACAAAATATATTTTAGAAAATTTTACTTAATTATGTTTAATTGGTATCAAAAATATAAATATCACTAAAACATTGTACTGTTTCAGCAGGACTAACATAAAAGCATTCATATTAAAGTCTAGGAACTTTTAAAATACGAACTTTAAAACTTTATAAATTTGTAAATGATTATTTTAAATGTGTTCTAATAAAAAGTACAATGTTGTAATAAATGTTAATTTTAAATTATACACAATTATAATATTATTAACAATAAATCATAATATTCATCTGAGACTTTAAACTAGATATAATTAGACTGCAGAAGTTATCGTAATCCAACTGTCGAATTCATTCATAAATTTCATAACTCTTCTCAGTTAGACATATAAATTAATGAGATTAATTTAATGTACTGTACTTACTTCATATTTGCCAACTTAGCGATAATTTCACATTGATCCTTATTAAAATTTAATGCATTTCGATATTCCGCATACGGTAAATTTTTTACATGGGACCTTTCAATAATTTCGTCTTGATTATTGGACATTTTTATAATCAATATAACTAATTAAATTACTATTTGTATAACTTATGATACCATTGGAAATAGAAAATACTTCCAATATTAAATTATGATTAAGGAAAAAAGGAAAACAAAATCAAGTTATTGAAATAAAATATGTAAAGTAATCAAAGTAAACTGGTATATTAAATAAATAAATTAAATGAAGTAATTAAAAAGTATCTGACATATTGACGTAACAGAAAAATGACATTTGGCAATACTTTTTTTTAAGGTAGCTTTACGGCTTTGAATGCTTGAGACGTGCTACCTATCCCTCGACCATTAAGGTCTTTTAATCGCCTCTTACAACACACACGAGAAAAGGAGTGGCCTATTATATGCCAGTACTGTACAGCTATTAGTAATTAAAGTTATTTATTTTGAAATTTCCCTTACGTGTAATATAAATATAAAAAACAAAAATCAATCCAATAATCAAACAAGATCATCAATCGAATGATGATGACTGACGTAATGTCAATTTCTTAAAATGTCATATTTCTACATTTCAATTTGTTTATTAACCGAAAAAGGAAACATGGCTATTGGCATTGACACTACGAAATGGAAACCTAGAAAAATAAAAGGTACGCCAGCAGCTAAATTTCGAAATGCTCTTGCTATAGGAACAATAACTATTGGAATAGCGTTTGGACTACTTTTCACGTAAGTAAAACTAAAACTACTTTCACGTAATTACCTAACGTAATACTTTTTTGAAGATCATAGGTTATATTAATTATTTGTGTTTTAGATACATTCCTGTTACTAAAAACCTTAGGAAAGCAGCCGAAGCTCTTTATGAAGATCCTATTGAAGAAGTAGAAAGAAAACAAATGATTGCCAGTGGTTTATTGAATAGAACGGGAGCCACAATAAAAAAAATTGTTGAAGAATCTGAAAGACCAGATAGACCAGATAAATAGTTTCTAATGAATATAAACAGTTCTTGTAGGTTGGTAACATAGCATTTTTATATTATAGATGAATAAAAAAATATTTATATATTTAAAATTGTTTTATTTTTGCCAGCAATGAAAACCAGTGTAAGGTGATCTTAAGCAAATACTTTTCGCGCAACTGTGGTATGGACGAAAGTTTGTCAGACTTTCAAGAAAAGAAGAAAAGCTTTGAACCAAGGAATGTCCAAAAAACAATAAAGTTTAAAAAAAAGAAAGCAACTAAACTGATTAAAGGCCAAACAAAAATAAAAACATTGTTGAATAAAAAGAAAAATGAATTAGTGTCTTACTCAAAGGACTTTGATAATATTTGTAAACAATCTGGTGTGGATGTTGATCCTGAGCAGCTGCAACTTGCAGTGGCATTATCAAAATCGCTTCAGCCAGTAGAAACTATCACATCAACAAGTACTCAGTTGAATTCTCAGGGAAGAACTGCAAAAATTCGATCAACTTTACGGGAATATGGATTTACAGTTCCAGATATAAAAATCTCAAATTCTAGTAAGAGATTAAAAAAGTTAAGGAAAAATTACAAACTTATATTATGTACAGATGTAGAGAAACAGCAAATAATTGCTGATAAGTATTCCCAAGTTTTATTTGAAAATATTGACACTTTTAAGAATTCATTTAATTATTCATGTAATAATTATTCTGATATACATTTATATTATTTAACAACACATGTTCCATATAATGAAATAAGAAATAATGATGTATTTTATATTCCTGATTTATCAATAGAGACATCAGTTTGCATTGGTACTTCACTAAGAGATTGGTCTGAAATACCTGGCAGACCTGTAAGTCCTAAGTTTTGTGAAAATAAAAAAATCAATATGAGTAACATTATGTGTTCCCAAGATGAATTAGATATTATTCTTAGTGGATCATTAAAATGTGCTCAGAACATTGTTAATAGTAAAACTGAAAGAGATACAATCATTGTAGATGATATCAGTAATAATAGCACTTGCACTAGAAAAGTTATTGAAATTTTTGATGATAATGCAAATGTTGAAAACATAAGTAAAAGAAAAGATGCAAGCAGTGTTTCTGATATTGAAAATGATAGAATGTTAAAAGTATCAGCACCAGTAAGAAGCTATTCTCCAGATTTATTTGATGATGAAACATCATCTTTTATTAGTAATGCCCATGAATTAACAATACAAAAGTCTCAAGAAACTGCATGTAATATAATTAAAACAAATGAGGATATTATAGAAATAATTGAATGTTGTAATGATATACCTGGAACTACAAAGGACTTAAATACAACAATATTGCCAATTACCAATCGTAAATCAGGTTCACAATTATCACAAAAGAGTGATATATCAACTAGAAAGTCTGATCCTATGGAACTAACTGAATGTATTGCCATACAACATAATTTTAATTATCATGAAAATACATTAAATTTACAGTTATCAAGTGGTATAGATATTACTAAAAGAAAATCTAATGATTTTATGGATCTGACAGAGTGTATTACACATATTTCTCAAGGTAATCCTATTCGTGTATGCAATAAGATAGATTTAACTCAAATTTCTAGTGAAAATAATAATAAAGTTGTCACAGAAAAAATAGAGAATGATGATAATGCATCTAATGATATTGATTTAACACAGTCCTCTGATTCTAGTGACAATTTACCATTTGTTCATGTTAGTGACAAATCATTTGATGATACAATTATTTTAAATAATTCTGAAATTATTCCATCAATATCAAACAAAAGGAGAACATCAACAAATGATTCTAAAGAAGATAGGCTTAATTTGAGTAATGATATACAATTTGAAAATAGAAATAATTTGCCAAATGAGAGTTTCTTCAATGATTACATGTATAATCATTCAAATGATGATGTTCAATCTAGTTGCATTGATTTAAATGTAGATGATAAAATTGATTTATCACAAGATACTGATTCTGAAGAATGTAATGATAATAGTGTCCAGTCTGCATCTGGAAATAAAATTAATATTGAAAATATTAATGAAATGTCTATTGATTATGATGATGTTTGCTTTGAAAATAATATGTCTGTTAACCAGAAAAACTTTTCCACGAAAGGTAGGAGTTTAAGTAAATCTGATATTTGTGAATCTGATAAATCACCTGAAAAACATGAATTACCAAGCAGTCAAGATTCTGAAGTTTTTGAAATTTCTGATAGAGAATTGGACTATTCCCTTCACAAATCTAGATATGATGAATTAATACATGTAGATTTTCAAAGCTCAAATATGAATGATAACGAATCAAATAGATTAAAAATATTTAATAAATCTAGCAATAATGAAACTCGATCAAATATTCTAAATAGGTCTTTCAGTGATAGTTTTCTACCTATAGTTAATATTAAAAAATCTGTTGAGAATGCAGATAGATTAAAAATGCAGTCATGTCATTCTGCAGTAAGTACACCAGAGAAAGTAAATAAAGTTACAACAGAAACCCCAAATGATTACATAGTTAAAATTCACCAAGTTACACCAATATTGGATTATGCATCTATGACAACTCCAGAAAGAAATAAAGAATTGGATAAGTACGGTTTAAAACCATTTAAAAGAAAAAGAGGTATGTATAGATATTATTGCTGAATATAGTATTAATTTATTGTGATACAAAATCTTTCAATATATTAAATTGTACTTTTTCCAGCTATTCGACTGTTGACACATATTTACAATCAGACTCATCCAGTTATAGCGCCTTGTGCTAATGAAGAATTGTTATCACCATCAAAAAAGCGTAAAACAGAAATTAAAGCAACTAACTCTGTTTCACCAAAAAAATCCCCACTAAAATCTACTAAAAACAACTTTGAAGGTGTTAAGGAAAATATTTATCAAATAACAAAAGAACTTCCAGATTTGAGGGAAATAGAATGTAGTTCTGATGATTGGGTGTTTCAGAAAAAGGAAAAAGCTAAGGTGAGTGAAAATTAATAAATATTCAACTTTGTAATAAAAAGTACTGATACTTCCATTAAAATAGAGTAACTCTTGTAATTACCGTATAGTGCCGGCATAGAATAGGCCACTCCTTCCTTTCCCGTGGGTTTTGTAAGAGGCGACTGAGAGAGGGCGAGGAATGGTCAGCAGCGTCCCTCTTAAAACATCTCCAAATCCTAACTGCTGTTGTCAATTCGCTTGCCAAGCGTGGCAACTACTGGCAACCCCCCCAAGGGGGAGGCTTATGTTTAGCGGTGGATAAAAGCTAATATGATGATGATGATGTAAACCAAGATAAAATTGCTTACAGGTCCATTCTTGTAGAGTGCCCCTTCACATAGCGTTTCATAACTTCCTGTCTTGTCGACGAGGTTTGCGTGAAGCGATACTGCGTTATGAACCAGTCAATATAGATATCATACACAAAGAACTAGTGGCATGCGGGCACAGATATGATCCTAAGGTAGAATTTTTCCTTTAATTTAAATAGAATATTAATTAGGTAATGGCCGGGTGATCTCGGCATAGAATGGGCTACCTTTGTGTCGTAAGAGACGATTAAGGGAATTTAATGATCGAGGAATAGACAGCAGCATCCCTTTTAAAACATCATCAAAGCCTAACTGCGGTTTCTAATTCACCTGCCAAGTGTGGCAACTACAAATACCCCAAAGCGTACTCCTCTTTTAGTGATTATGTTCAACAATGGACGGTTAACGGCTGATATGATGATGATGATGATTAGGTACTTTCAACAGCTACATTACCATATAGCTGTTTTCTACATAACTGTGAGGATTTTTGTGAGTTTTTTTTTGATGGGTGAAAATGGTATGGTAACCCCGCCTGCGCTAACGGGATACGCTGGCGGAGCACCAGTGAGGGTGATAGATGAGAATGAAAACAGGCCAGTTAGCCCATCATGATGAATTCATCAGGAATTAACCATGATAGTTTCCAGGGGGAACCGCGAGGAGATCGACCTGGTTGGATATATTGCTAGCAATGGGATTCTCAGTCTCCATTACTAACAATCCCTTTCCCCCCATATTTTTGTGAGTTAAACCACATCACTTTCCATGAAGTGAGATTATGATCAATCCCGAGTCCCCTCAATTATATGAGATTATGTTCAACAGAAAAAATAATTAACTTCAATCGGGGCAAAATCAGTTTTTGATTTAAAAACTAAACTATGAAATCAATTTTGATAAAATTCCTATAGGACCAATTTGAAAATACATATATCTTTCCATTTAAAAAAATAATAATTGATTTATAAATGATAGAATTAATATTAACAATAAAACCGTTATCATAAATACATGTCTTATAAGAACTCTTATATATTTTTACAAGAAGATTCCCCCAATCATTAATTAATAGAATGTCTTAGAATTATTTGGTGTAACAAACCAGTTGTAACGAACAAGTCGAAATTTAAAAACTGAAACAAACGTTTCAAAACTAAACAATAAGAAACTTAAACAGTTTTAATAAAACAAACATAAAAAATTGTTAAATTCGGAACCTCACCTTTTTGAAGTCGGTTAAAAATAGCCAGACTCTTAAAAGTTAATTAGGATGAAGTGGTGCAATTAAATTAATAATTTATGATTTTTAAATGATTTTTCTTAATTTTATTTAACTGAGAATAGAATTCTGAACCTCATTTAAACATTGCTCGTTATAGATAAATACTATTTTAATACATTCGAAATGAAATCGAATGCTGAAGGCTATATGTACAACACTCGCTTTAAAACTTATGCGTAGATAAACGGCAGTTTCGAAAATTCTTAATTTCTTATCTTAATCTGATAGCAGATTAGAGCATTGACTATCTAATTGTTATAAATCAATCTCATGACTCTTATAGATCAATCAATCAAATCTAGACCTTCCTTAGTAATTCTATCTCGCATTATATATCTATTTTGTCGATTATTTTATAGATTTAAAAATTAATATACATATATTAATTTTATTTCAGGACCTTTTGAAATTTTTGGACAAGAAATGCATCACGGTGAAAACATCGGATAACAATTCAAGGAATAATAGAAAATAACAGTTAGGTTCCAATGAATAGTTTTCAGTGTAATATAAAGCATTTGTAATATATTAGAAGAAGCAAGCTAAAGTGGCAATGGGCTGGTCACATAGCTCGAAGAACCGACGATCGATAGGGAAGAAAGGTTCTTGAGTAGCGACCTCATACGGGCAGACGCAATGTAGGACGACCCTCACTAAATGGAGTGACGGCCTCTAATACATTGCAGGGAGTTGGTGGATGCAGGTGGCTCAGGGCCGTTCTTTATGCCAGTCTATGGGAGAAGCTTATGTTCGGCAGTGATATAAATAATTAATATAGTTAATTTTATTTTACCATGCATTATTTTTTAGTTTTTAACACATATAAATAAGTGTCAGTGTAGATTGATGAAGGAGGCTAATTAATTTGTAATTTGAAAGTTAACTATAAGTACTTTATTTAGTATACGATGAATTTGATGATGAAACTCTTAACCGGGAGGCGTAGCAGCTTATTTATTTATTCTTTATTACACAATGAAACAGTACAAATGGTGAGCTTAATCCCATATGGCATTCTCTGCCAGTTAACCTTAAGGTAAAAACAGAAAGCGTATGAAGGGCAGATGTGGTGAAAAATGTGACAATTATAGTAACACATTAAGGCTAATACACAATACATAAGAAATGTATTAATTTATTGTAACTTAATATTATTTATTCTATTAAAATAATTATAACATCATCATGACAGTAAAAATCTAATGGATGACCAAAGATACTATAATGTACACATGAAATCAAATTTGTTAGGAGGTCCATTTGTTACAACTTGTGTTAGTGGGGGAAAAAGATTGTTAATAATGGGGTCTAATTAACCTATTGCTACCAATAGAAACTGTCAGGTCGACCTCCACGCAGTTCCCTCTGGAAACTATCGTGGTTAATTGTAGTGGAATTTAACACGATGGCCTAACTGAGCTGCCTTTTCAACTTCAACTGTCATCCCTCACTAGTGCACCTCCAGCGTATCCCGATAGCACAGGCGGGGTTACTATTTACTATTTCATTATCACCCATAAAAAAACTTGTGTTAACCCTTCTTTGTATGATTTTTTTTATTGGTGAAATAAATCAATCTTAATAAATAAATTAGACAGCTAAGTTTTTTTTTTTTGCAATGGACATTAAAAAGGTATCCAGACACGATAGACTTAAAGTGAACTTGTTCTTTCAAATAATTTTTGGGCATTCAATGTTATGATGGAAATTTCCACCATTATGCAAAGATGGGTTAACTAAAAATGAGTTAATATTCTCGAAAAAAGGAACACCTGTATCTGTACCAATAGCACTACACAATACAGTTTATAGAGTGTAGTGCCATTAAAAATTGGACTCTCTATTCCACGTAATGCTTGGGCCAATTTGGGCCATTGTGCGTATGAGTCGTGACTAGTAAAGCCAACTCATCTCCGCCCAGATGCACAGAAGCCTCCTGGGTTGTTCACAGGCTTTACGAAGCAACCTTACTGCTTCGAGAATTTTTTAAAACTTGAACAGCCGTTTCTTCGGCGTCAAAACGGCATCTACATAGAGAGCTGTTTGTGGCTTCTATTGTGTATAAATGTGTTTAAGGGGCAATGGCCTGTTATTGTCCCTATCATTGTTTTAAGGTTTTTTCTACCCAGATAATTATATCTGGTATAAATGTTTTGATAGGCGTCGATTCACCGTTGGCACGGCTATTTTTGATTATCTGCAATCAGTAGCCGGTTTTGTATATCAGTGGATCTTTGACAAATCTAGTAGTACAGACTGCGAGAACAGAAGAGGAAAAAGTAGATACGCGCCTGTCACTTTCGTTCCAGAACCACTTTTAGTTTGTATTACGTTAATTATCATACTGTAATTGAAACAATTGTTTTATCAAATAATGATTTAATTTTAACAATTAATTTGTTTATATTTTTATGTCGCGCTATACACCGGTGAAATTAACAATCATAGTTTGCAATAATGTAACAAAATAAGTAAGGGACAATAAATATATTTATATTGAGAATATTTTTGTTTTTATATCACAACTGTAATCACTGATTAATTATTATTGCGCAACAGACTTTATTTAAACTAGTTGTTTTCTAATATGACAACAAATATAGAAATTAAATATATGATTTACTATCGGTGATTTAAATATTTCGACCAACGATAATTCAACACGAAATGATAGAAGCATGATAGATCGAAGAAGTATGGATACTAAGTACAAGTTAAGCTGGATACACTTGGTAGTCTTTGCACATGAAGGATTGTTAGCAATGGAATTTTACGTCCCCATTGCTAGCAATATACCCTATCAGGTAAAAAAACATTGAAATTATTTAAATTTACTAAACTAAGAATAATATATATATATATATATATATATATATATATATATATATATATATATATATATAATAATTTCAAGGTTTACTTCGTTGGACAGATGTTTTTTTTTTGTCAATCAAAGTCTCCTGTGTAATTAATTACAAATGTTTCTTTATTCATGTATCCAACAATCAACTTACAGTACTCTCTCCTAGAGTTACACAGTTATTAGAAACTCGATAGCAAACTTATCGGTCTATAGTTACCTATATCCTTGGGGGTCGCCCTTCTTGTGTATTAAAACGATATTAAATTCAGATCATTGTGCATAAATTTCAGCTTTTTGTAATATCAGATTGAATAATTCAACTAATAGTTTAGGGTCAATATCGTGTGTGCTATTTTCAAAGATTCATTTGTTCGCCCCCACATCTTAGAAATGTTAAAATACGTACGTAAACCATTACCACAATTTCAATACGGTTATATCAATACAGATCCATAAATAGTTGACAAAAAACATACTGAGTTTCAGGATATTTAGATAATGTTTATTTTGGTACAATAAATTCGATTATCATGTCTCACTTACTATCCTTTTCTAGCCTTAAGTTACAAATAACTTTAAAAGTTTCAAGAACATTTATCGAAAATATGATCTAAGTAACGTACAAAATTAAGGCCAAAATTTTCAAATAAATAATTTAGCTACACAATGTAGTAATGCAACGTCATTTCTTCAACATGCCAGCTTGTTGAATGACCTGTCTGGTGGCATTGTTTATATGACGAAATCTGTCAGGACCAAGCTGGATCCCTCCATACCTGTAAAATGAAAAATAATATATAGATTTATATTATAATCCGTTTCAATAAAACTTAATGTGAACAAATGAATAACTGATACGACCATAAAAAACAGTCTGGTGATGTACAATAGCAGTACATATAAAAAATAATTTATCGATTCAATGGAATCATTCAATCGATTAATCAATTATAACAACCTAATTTCAAACAAGATTTATTACCAATTTCGAATTTTAATGTTTCTGTGATAAATTCAACAAAACTTTATTAAATTCTATAAAAACATATACTATATATATTGGACTATAATTTCTTGGCTGGATTAAATGCAAATAAACTGATTAACTTGATTATTGGATAAATTAGAATAAAAAAAAAATGTGTGGTTAAAAAAATATGTAATAATTGGATAATGAAGTTTGAGACCCTATTTCAGTATATTTAGTTAAATAATTTAAATTTTTTGGTGTTTTTGTTATATTGTAATAATTATGATTAAATTAATATTGATACATTTCTTCTGTTATTGTTTTTAGCTGATCCTTTATGATACTTTTTCTGCTATGCAGAATACATGTAGTGCTGTATTCTTAGGATTACTGAGAGTTACACAGATTTTAATATATTAATGCATTTTAAACTACAATTAAGCATAGAGATGACTATTAACAGCAAAAAATATAATAATGTAAATCTTAGGAATATAATAAAATTGACCAGTTCCACCAACTTTCTCCCTGGGGAGTAAGAGTGGTTATCTACATGATATCTCTACAGGGGAAATATTTAAGAAAAATTTACATGTGGGGTCTGAAAAGTCATACAAGCATTTGTAAATTTTGTGTCTGTCTGTATATTTGTTCTGTCCTCACGAAAAAACTACTGCACCAAATTGGATGCGATTTTCACAGTTTTATTCCTGTAGGTTTAACTTGGTATATGTTTTATCTTAATACGCCATCTAGTAGTGATCTATTTCATTGGTTTCCCTACTTCTCCAACTCCACGCACACACGAAATCCAGGCGTACGAAATTGTCAGCAGAAGCTAGTACTATATATTAATATATAAAAATCCTGTGTCCCGTGTTCATTCACACTAATCTTCTAAACCGGTCAATCAAATTTATTAAAATTTTGCAAATGTATGTAGGTAGCTTGCACGAACTGGAGAGATAAATATAATAAAATGACAATAAGAAAATATAGATCCGATATATGTAGCGGTAGGGGACAAAAGAATGACTACTGCAACGGCTAAAAGAAATTTAAACTTACCATCTTGAAACCACAACTAATGTGTTCTTCTGGTCTAATATTTGCAATAAATGCAGCATCCGACTACCAGCATGTGCTTCACCATCGTCATCACAATCTTGCAATATAGTGGTACCTTTCGCTGTTTTTCTTTCAATACGGTATGCATACATGTTGTGTGTTGCATTTAATATTTTTTTATTTTCTTTTAATTTCGTAATTACTGCACTGGAAAAAATATTATGACTACATAAATAAAAAAATTTAAGGCACTGCAAATTAAGTACTAAATATTCTCTTTATTTATACATAATAATTATAAGTATACATTCAACCTAACAGTGAATAGCCATTGCATCAAAGACATGGCTTATAAAATGCTAACTTTTAATATTTAATATATTGCAATATATCTCTAATATAGACATGGGGTCAAAATACCACGCGGATCTTCCTGGAAATCATCGTGGTTAATTCTATTTAAATGCGCCATGACAGGCCAACTGATCTGCCTTCATCCTCGCCTAACATCTCTCACTAATATCTTACCAGTGTATACCGATAGAGCAGATGAGATAGGATTGTCATTCCATTTTCATTCATTAAAAAAAAAACTGCTCATCTTTAATCAGGAACACGGTATCTGTATGAAACTTGCAACTAATAGAAACCATCATTTCATCCTGCACTGATCCTCCTATACCATCAGTGTAAGTGCATCATATCCCTCATACAAAAAAAAAAACCCTAATATTAGAGACTGATCTGTCTAAACGCTTCCATACAATGTCTACCTTTAGTAAAACTAAGGATTATCTTAATAATGGTTTCACTTACTTGACGTCTTCTACACTGTGGACCTCAGCAGCGTGACCTTGGAATGAACTTTTCCTGTCTACTATTACCTCACCATGAGTTATTTCTGGACAATTTATTTTTAACTGAAATAGAAATTGAAATGTATATTTTATTTCGGGACTATTGTTTTCTCTATCAAAGAATATTTTTCTTAATATAATCTGAAATATTGTAATTTTTTAATCGCTTTTGAATATTTACAGATAATTGCGACACTTTGTTTTACACTTTGTAATTCTTTAATTCCTAAATCCCTTACAGGATAGGCACAGAGAAATCATAAGATATCAAACTAAATATCGAAAGTGACAGGACTATATGTTGTGGCACAGTATGGGGAAACTTATGTTCAACAGTGGACAATGGATAGATTGCAACAATGAAGATGAGATTTAGTATTAGATTAAGTGAGAGTTCCATCTATATTTGTATTAATGTAAACAACTTACATCGCCAGAGACATTTTCAAAAGGAAAAATTACACATACTAAAATTAAAATACATACCTTTGTCATATCTAAGGATTCAATAACTGGTGTAACGATATTTTTTGGTGTCTCAGTAGATTTTATATTTTGTAAAACTTCTCTTATTTTTTCTACCCATTGGTATATTACTGTTTCTCCTATATTTTCTCTAAAATGAAAACATATATTGTATTGACAAAGTTCATGTAAAATTCTGAAGGCAAATCAAGCCGTTGTCATCGTGTTCGTGTGTAATGAAGGTGAAATAAAAATTCTTGACAATTCTTTTTCCATTTTTGATAGCAACAAATGCATTTTTAAAATCTATAAGACTACCTATTGACCTTACACTATACCATGAAATAATTATCTAAAACTTGTTTATTGTTATTATTTTTTTGCTAATACTGGAATACATTTTAGTGTGCTGTTTCTTTAAATTTATCTCTTTACCTAACATTTTAATTTGATAGTTTTGCAAAATTACTGTTTTATGGACTAGAAACTAAATTTATAATTATTTTAAATTAAAATATTTAAAAAGAAACTGCCTCAGTGTAATAAGGAACTATGAAAATTGTCAATGATTCTAGGTTCGCAAGTGGTTTCAAACCCTTAAGTTGAGGCTTGCCTCACTCTGCCTGTTCTACTGCTTATACAATTGATTGGGTTTAGAGGAATTGTATAACAATGGTATAAAAAAAAATATGTATTTAGTTAGTTTTTTACTAGTCCTCAATAAAAATTTTGCTGTGATATCAAACTGAAGAGAGTTAGGTTTTTCAGAATTAATGCCATTGTTTTACAGTAGCATTACTTTTTTCCCAATCATACTCTGAATTTAAATGTTTCTAATTTTAAGATGATAGATATCTAGCAGAATAAACAAAGACAATTAAGTCAGACTGACTTAAAATTATTATGATTATGAATGATTTAAAAAAGTTGTAACACTTACAAGTATACTTCATCTAGTGACTTATGAAGGTTTTCTTTTATCTTCCTATCCATCCATGGTGCCGACAATTCATATTTAGGTGGCGACAAAGTAGGATAGTCAGGTGGCATAGTGACAAACAACAGAGCTTCATTTTTATTTTCTACAATACGGATACGGTATGATTTAAAATTGTCACTTTCTATAGTCCAATCATCGCCATAAATGGAGCTCAGTGCTTCAACTTCCTCAGCCTGGAAACAAAAATTAAGTAAACTATTTGGAAAAAATATCATATCAAACAGAAACACCACAATCTCATGATATTTTTTCACTGCTGAAATGAATTGTTTGATAAGGTGACCAACTATACTCATTTACTGAGTTTTGTACTCTTTTTTCACAAACCATACTATTTTCAAATCCTGTACTCTGAAAGTACTCATTTGTATAACTTTATATTCATTTGTATTTCTAAAACATTTTTTTAGATTATTTTATTTCAATTTTATTAATTAAATATTTAAAATTATTTTAACAGTGATTTAAATTTCATTAGTATTTCACTAGAACATATCCTACATGAAAATTTAAAAGTATTTAGATATTTCCGTATGTCCGTTGTCCAGGCACTAATGCTGCTGTTGAAGGGAAGGGTATTTTCACTAGGGAATGATTATTGGAGCAGTGAGAAGTCGCAACTTTCTGTAAAAACATTATCTGCCGTCTTAACAGTTAAATTTAATATGTAAAATGAAAGTTGTTCAGATGTGGTTACATTATTAGACAAACATCTTCATTTAGTAAAAAAAAATCCACTCTGAAGAACAATATGTTTTTAAAAGAAAATAAAGTTTTTATCGTTTTTTCTTTTTTTTTCAGTTATGAAATACTTGCAAAGTGTACTCTTTTTGAACAAACAATAGTTGGTCACCTTATGTTTGATTACTACACTGGTTATGTATATAAACATATACTATCTATTGCTACCACTAATCATAAATGTTAATTTTAAGTTGAAATTAATAAATGTTATAAGCACAATTTTTATCTTGTTTGGCAGATTTTGATTAGAATTCATAGCACTGTTCACATTATTTATTAAATTACATAAATATTTTGAAAAACACCACGTTCATATATTTTTCCAGTCGTCAAAACAATCAAAATTATACCTGTTTGATTAAATTATCCGAATCCATTTTGTTCAAGATATTTATTTCTTACCCCAATTAAAACATTAATTTTATAAAGATATTCTGATAACAAAACCGATGAAAGAAAACAAAAAAAATCTCAGAGAATTAAAAAAACAAACATTGACAACAATTAAACGAACAGAAAAGTAATGTACAGAACACTAGTCTCTCTAATCTGTGGGACACTATACATCTATTACTATTACTCAAACGTCAATTACTACCCAAATGTCAATGCCATGTCCAATGAGGCTTCGAAAAAAAGCGAATAGACTTCTTTTATTTTTTTAATAGCAGTCTTTACTTTTACAACCATTTAGGCCAGAGTCAAATGTTTTAATTTTCGTTAATTCTCCATCATATTGCCAAGTTTACGTTTTCCGCCTTTTCGATTACCATTAAATGGTAATAAATATGGACAGATAACTAACTAAATGTCACTAAAATTGACGGTTATTTTGATTTTTTTTTTATTAATCGATTATTTTAATACAGTAAGACCCCGCTGTTTCGTTCAGCACTGTTTCGGTTTAGCGCTCTTTTATTTTAACTCGGGGATTCCTGTAATTGCGCGCAGCGCTAAATTTCCATATATGTAGGGGAGAAGGAGGCACCTTAGCACAGGGGCAGATTTGAACATGTTGATTTCTAAATGCAGCTTTATGTTAATCTATGCCACAATTCCATTTTAATATTAGCAACACTGGCTGTGACAAACGTCAAGTCACAAAGCGCGTGCATTTTGTTGTCAAAAAGAGTTATAACCTACCGTCGTAATTGTACCGGCGAAGTAAAAAATAAAAATAAATGTTGTAAGGGATTTTTAATCACGTAAGTAACGGTTTCCATCTAATTCTTTCACAAAATTGTGCAGTATTTATTAGTTTTCAATCCACCTTGTTTTTGCTTGCCGGTTATTTCACATTCTTTTTTTTTTTTTGTAATATTTTATCTTCCAAGTGACCATGGACCAGATTTAATCAAAACAAATGGAGCTGATTCGAACGGGACTTTCAAATGTGCCCCGCCCCCATCTTAAATGCAAACTTCAAATGTTTTCTAATACATGTATTCTAAATGTAATCCTTGATAGTAATTAAATACATCACTAACTGCAATACTGTAAACCTAAACCCAAATTTAAATCAAAACAGAGATACATATTTACATCAAGCTCTGAGTCGGACGACAATGACGATAACATCTCTGTGAATGACGATTCAGACTTAGATGCGACTGATGCTAGTGATATTCATAATGAAGATGAAAAATTGCTGGAAGAAGCTGACAGTATTCCTTTGAAAAAAAATAAATAAATAAAAAAAAATATTTTGTAACAAAATTCATACAATACTAAGATAGTTATTGTGTTGTATCAATTTTTTACTCTATTTTGACTAGTCAAAGCCTGAATATTGGGGACTTTGTACTAGTTAAGTGCCCTTCAAAAAACGAATTGCATCTTTGTCTTTCGTTGCTAGAATTGAAGAAAAAGACTTATTTAAGTTAAGGTATTTACCTTTACTGTGAATTACTTGAAGAGTTTGTTTTATTTTCCTGAAAAAGTTGATAGATAGTCTGTTACAATTTTGGATATAGTAAAAAAACTGCCAGCACCTAATAATGGCACGTCCAGAATGGCACGAAAATTTTCTTTTAATTTCAATTTTTCCATTTTTCATATGGGATAGGTAGGACAGGACCTACCTAAGATGAATACTTTAAAATAAATGTGCAACAGGATTATTTTTGTTAATCTGACTAAATTAAAAACTATTATTAAGTTTAGAAGTTTGATATTAATTTTATTTTATGTTTAATTTTGCGTCTGAGGCAGTATTATATACCTAATTATATAATAACAATACACTAATACTCTCATGCAATATGATTATTTTTGTTAACAAAGAGAAAGTCAAACACAAAAACTCTAATTTTTATTTTTGTTACTGCAATACAAGATTTAACTTTAGAAGTTTCGTATAAGTTTCTTTTATGTTTTAATAACAATAAATATCATTACAATACTAACAAATTGTTACTCTATCCTCTTTTTTCCCGGTTTTTAACCCATTTTTCCAAACTGCCCCATGTTGATTCAAATGTGGGGAATGGGGAAGCAGATTTCAACAAATTTGTGTTTTATAAAAAACACATTTTTCTCTTTAACGTTTTCAATTTTTTAATTTGGTAACTTCAACAATAAGGACAATTCTTATGAATAAAGAAAAAATACTGTCATCGGCAACTGCAACTATGTCAAGCTCTGCAACCAGAATTATTTTATTTTATATTGAATTATATTGTTTTTATTTTTGTAATAATTAAATGTTTGGTTTTATTTTCATTAAAAAAATATAATTATTAAATTTAATAATCAAATAATGTGTACACAAATTTTCGTATTCGAAAGATTTTACTAATTAGCAATTCGGTCTAAACGTATAATAATGAAAAAGAACAATTTTTTTTTTAAATACTTGTACCTATAACTATTTAATAGATACAACTAGGTACTAGGTTATAATATGTTTCTTCATCGTCATCGTTTATTAGCCATTATCCGTCCACTGCTGAACAATTTTTTTATACAACTTAGAATGGCAAACAAGCTGACGGTCCACCTGATGGAAAGTGGTAACCGTCGCCTATAGACATGAGCAGTACCATTGACATAACAGAGTATACTGTTTCGCCCATGATACCCCCATGCGTTGCCATTCCTGAGGACTCAGGTCTGTTGTGTCTCGGTCGAAGTTCGACTTACCTATTCATACAAGTCGTTACCGTAAAACGTACCTGTTGCAAAGCACTATTAATAATTAACCATCTTTGAGCATAGTATTCATGATTTATATTCTTATCCAGACCAAGAGTTTGAAAACATCTTCCAATGCAGCTGTGAAGAGTTTCGGGGATGTCACCCTGATTTACATCTTTTTGCACTAGGATGGGGTTCGTACTCTAGTTTTGTACTCAAATAAACATCGTAGCTCTAATGTACATACACTTCAACACTTCGATATACCTATAGTCAATCTAGCACTGCTAGAAGGACTGCAGTACCGCCCATGTCTCGACCGAATCAAGGGTTTACTCATAGTCCATACACTCCAGACATAGTGACAGATTATGCAGCAGATTATACTCCTCGGTCTTCTGTATAATCTGCATGTATGTGGTATCTGGTGTTAAAGCCCTTTTGGAAGCCAGCTTGTTTGGATGGCTGTAAGTCGTCGAGTTTACGGGTAAGACGATTGGTCAGGACTCTCGGAAACAAACTACTAAGTATTCATTAATTTAAGTTTGAAAACAATTTGTTACGTTAATTGGCATACTGTGTAGTTGTATTTATAACGATTCTTAGTTATATTAGATATATTGTTTATATATTAACTAAACCAATATTTTATGATTAAGAAGTTCAAAGCTGACCGAGTTTAAACCAGTACCTTCTACCATTATTCATTAAAATATTATATCCTTTTCACATCACTTATATTTATCATCACATACAAACCATAATTGAAACAATGATTTTATCAAATAATGATTTTATTTTAACAATTAATTTGATTACATTTTTATGGTGAAATTATCAAACATAGTTTGCAATAACTAAAAAAAAAAATAAGTAGAGGACATTAAGGACAATATTAAGAATATTTTTGTTTTTATTACTGATCACAATTTAATCCTGATTAATTATCATTGCACCTATTTAAACTTATTTATACTATATGGACAACCCATTATCACATTCGATTACTTAATTACTTAATTTCGATTACAGTGAAAATAGTACATATCCGTAAATAGTGGACCAAAAACATATTCGTTTGTCATGGTCTCACTTACTATCCCTTTCTAGTCTTGACAACAGTCCTAATATCCTAAGCAAAACATAAATTGCGCTTCTATTTATTTCTCGGTTTGTCCAATGGTTGACTGGTAGAGAACACTGTTCAGTGTTAAGTCCGTCATATGTACATAGTTTCACTGTTTTGTTTACACTTTAAATAAATAAAAATAATGACGTAGCGCAATGTTATTTCTGCAATAAGCCAGCTTGTTGAATGGCCTGTCTGGCGGCGTTGTTTATGTGTCGGAATCTATGTGGACCGAGCTGGATCCCTCCATACCTATAAAATGCAAAATAATATATAGATTTATATTATGATCCGTTTAAATATGCATTAATGTATTTTTAACTACAATTAAGCCTGGAGGTTATCTTATTAATATAATAAAATTGTAACTATACAATGTCTGTACACGGGATATATTTGAGAAAAAGTTATATATAAATATATACACAGTTGTGTTCCTGTAGGTTTAACTTAAAATCTTGTATACGTGTTATATCGATACGCCTTAGTATACTCCGAAATGATCTATTTCTGTCGGCCTTTCTACTTCTGAAGTCAAACGTACTACCTATATATTAGTATATAAAAATATTGGGTCCCGTGTTAATTTACACTAATCTTCTAAACCGGTCAATCTAATGTATTAAAATTTTGCAAGTGTAGGTATATACTTTGCACGAACTGGAGAGATAAATATAATAAAATGACAATAAGAAAATATAGACCCGATAAGTGTAGCAGTAGGGGGCAAAAGAATGACTACTGCATCGGCTAAGAAAAATTTAAACTTACCATCTTGAAACCACAACTAATGTGTTCTTCTGGTCTAAAACTTGCAATAAATGCAGAAGCCGGCCGCCAGCATGAGCTTCGCCGTCATTGTCACAGTCTTGCAATATAGTGGTACCTTTCGCTGTTTTTCTTTCAATACGGTATGTATACATGTTGTGTGTTGCATTTAAGATTTTTTTATTTTCTTTTAATTTCGTAATTACCGCACTAGAAAAAATATTATAGTTAGATAAATAAAAATCAAGACACTAAAAATAAGAGACTGAAGGAAAGGGAAAGGGATCATTAGTAATGGGATCAAAATACGATATATATAAATAATAATATTCATTGCCAATATTATACCTCATCAGGTCGATCACCACGCGGATCCCCCTGGAAACCACCGTGGTTAATTCTGTTTGAATTCGCCATGACGGGCCTACTGATCTGCCTTCATACTCGCCTAACATCTCTCACTAATATAATATCTCGCCAGTGTATACCGATAGCGCAGATGAGATGAGGTTACCGTTCCATTTTCATTCATTAAAAAAATCTGCTTATCTTTAATCAGGAACACGGTATCTGTATGAAACTTGCAACTAATAGAAATCATCATTTCATCCTGCACTGATCCTCGTATACCATCAATGTGAGTGCATCATATCCCTCATACAAAAAAAAAACCTAATATTAGAGACTGATCTGTCTACACGCTTCCATACAATGTCTACATTTAGTAAAACTAAGAATTATCTTAATAATGGTTTCACTTACTTGACGTCTTCTACACTGTGGACCTCAGCAGCGTGACCTTGGAATGAGCTTTTCCTGTCTACTATTACCTCGCCGTGAGTTATTTCTGGACAGTTTATTTTTAACTGAAATAAAAATTGAAATTTTATTTTTTGTTTTTTATTCTGGGACTATTGTATTCTCTATCAGGGGACTTTTTTCTTGATATAATCGGAAATATTATAAAATATTAAATTGCTTTCGTATATTTTCGATTGCAACAATGAAGATGATATTTTAAGAGGTATTTTAAATTGCTCTTCACTGATTAAGTGACAGTTCCATCTATATTTCTATTAATGTGAACAACTTTCATAACGAGAGACATTCATACTAAAATTAAAATAAATACAAGATACCAACCTTTGTCTTATCTAAAGATTTAATAACCGGTGTAACGGTCTTTTTTCGGGTCTCAGCAGACTTCACTTTGCGCACGAAATCTCTTACTTTTTCCACCAATTGGTATATTACTACCTCACCAATATTTTCTCTGAAATGAAAACATAACATGCATATTGCACCAACAAGCGTCCTGCCTCTGAGGGCAAATAAACGGTGTTGTCATTGTGTACATGTGTAATGAAGGCGGCATAAAAATTTTAATTTTCAAGATAGGTTTAGAGGGATGAGGCTTCAAAATCAACACCACAATGTTTCACAGTATCATTACTATTTACCCAATCATACTTAAAAATTGAATAATTTAAACTGAACACAATAAAAAATATATCAATTGTAAGTTTAAGATAATAGATATCTAGCAACATTAACAAAGACATACTAATGTCAGACTGACTGAAAATTGTTATGATTATGAATGATTAAAAAAAAAGAGTCGTAACACTCACAAGTATACGTCGTCCAGTAACTTTCGAAGATTCGCTTTCGCCCTTCTATCCATCCACGGTGCCGATAATTCATATTTAGGTGGCGACAAAGTGGGATACTCGGGTGGCATTGTCACATGCAACATTGCTTCCTTTTTGTTCTCTATAATTCGGATACGGTATGTTTTAATTTTTTCACTTTCTATTGTCCAATCGTCGCCATAAATCGAGCTCAGTGCTTCAACTTCCTCAGCCTAGAAACGAAAATTATACAAACATTTTGGAACAATACCACATCAAACAAAAACACTTTTATGTCGTGGTGTTTTTCCAGAATTTTTTTAAAATTGAAATCAAATGTTTCACTAAATTATCTTATTTTATTGTGTATTATATATATATACCATCTATTGCGTAAACTAATTGAAAAAAATGTGAATTTTAAGTTGAAATTGATAAATGTTAATTTCACAATTCCTATTTTATTTAGTTGATTTTGATCGAAATTTACAGCACTGTGATGGCATACGAGGTCTGTCCGGAAAGTTCGTATAAAAGTGTTCTGGAATGCGAGAAAGAGGAGTGGGGAGGCCAGGTAAGCGCAGGACCCCTTCCTTATGTCCCTAACAATGCTTCAGTTCTGGTCTGACCGCCGTGCGGTGCGAACTGGCTTGTCACGCCATCTGTGAAGTTACCTCTTAACGAAACCCCGTCGGCATGGAGCCCGCTTCCGTTGAAGAGCAGCGCGTCGTAATCAAGTTTCTCTCGAAACTCGGCAAGAATGGCCGTGAAATTTTTGCCGATCTCAGAACAGTTTATGGGGATGATGCTGTGAAGGAACCAACCGTCCACAAGTGGCTAAAAAGATTCAGAGAGGGCCGAGAAAGAGTTCGATGTTCGGGGGATTGTCCATCAAGAATTCGTCCCTCCAGGCCAGACAGTTGATGGAAAATTCTACGTCGATGTGCTCAGACGCCTCAAAGCTCGTGTGGCACGAGTTCGTCCAGAATTGGCGCGAGAGGGGCGTTGGATTCTTCACCACGACAATGCCCCTGCCCACACCTCTCTTGTTGTCCGTGAGTTTTTGAGTAAAAATTCCATTACGGTGACCGAACACCCCCCTATTCGCCGGATTTGGCCCCGTGTGACTTCTTCTTGTTCCCAAAAACCAAATTGGTACTTCGGGGGCGGCATTTGGGGGACATAAATGAGATAAAAAAAGCTACGACGGGGCAGCTGAGAAACCTACAACCAGAGGACTTTCAAGGAGCCTTCTCACAGTGGAAACGGCGTTGGCACAAGTGCATTATGTCACAGGGGGAGTACTTTGAAGGGGATAAAATTGATTTACCTGAATAATTGTAAAATAAAATTTTTAAAAAACTTTTATACGTACTTTCCGGACAAACCTCGTATTTCTGTTTTTACATAAATATTTTGAAAAATACCACACGTTCACGTAGTGTTTTTCCAGTCGTGAAAAAAATCAAAATTTACCTGTTTGGTCAAATTAGCCGAATCCATTTTGTTTACTATATCCAATGTTTATACTATTTAAAACGATAATTTTATGATCAAATTAATAAATACGAGCCAACAGTAATATAACAGCAATCGACAAGTAAACGATGTTACTGCTCAAACGCACAGAACACTACTGATCAAGGAACATACAACTAGGTGAAAAGTATTCACCGCCCAAAAAAATCCTTAGAAATTTCATATCTATTGACTTGTACAGGATCTATTGTCTAAAAATTAAATGGACCTATGAAAACAAATCGCCATGTTATTAAACTATAAATACAACAATAAAGGTACCTCATTTCAAGGTAAACCGAATTTTATGGAAATTCTCGTTTACTACGATTTACAATAGCGTCAAGAACCGTTGACGAAGTATTGTAAATTGGTTTTTGCTTTACCTGAGGGAGTTCATAGAAATCTAGAAAAATGCCTAAGCGTCGTCAATTGAGTCACGAGGAACAATTAAAAATCCACACAGTCGGTTAAAAAGAGAAATTGCCAAAATTATAAAATGTCCTCATAGTACCGTAAAATAAGTATACCTTAAAACGGTACAAGGTGACCACAAGACACGAAAACTTGAAACGAAGTGGAAGGAAAAGGATAACATTTGCAAGAGAATTCAGACTGTTAACACGAATTTCTTTGGAAAATCGTAAGAAAACATTTTCATTGAATTGGCTGCTGAACTTATCGAGACGCAGGGGAAGAAGATTTCTGCTAGATTAAACATTAATAAAAGAAATAAAACAAATCCTTCTACAATTAGATAACGCTTTAACATACATAAAAAAACTTATATTACTTTATTTGATTTATGTGCATGTAGGTATCTATATAACAGACTTTACTGACAAATAAAATCGTTAATTGTAACATCACAAGAACAATGATCAAAACAGACTATAATGAAACCATACTGATGAGGTTGTTTTTTTTATTAGGTAGTTCTTATAACCACTTCAGTGAGCAGCTTCGATCTTATTATTGTAGTTACAACAATTTTCATATTTATCAATTTTCATCAATAATCATCGAACTTGAATTTTTTTTGTTTTTTTTTTTATACGACTTAGAATGTCAAACAAGCTGACGGTCTATCTAATGGAAAGTGGTAACCGTCGCCTATAAACATGTGCAGTACCATGGACATAACAGAGTATACTGTTTCACCCATGATATCTCCCATGCGTTGCCATTCCTGAGGACTCAGGTGTTATTCCTCTGTACCCAGTAATTTTACGCCATATCCCACCCTTCAAACCGATGAAATGCGTATGAAATATTTATGGCAATTATAGTATGTTAATAAGTGTTTGAAAAAATTGGATTAAAAACAAACCAGTAAGAATGAAAAAAAAAAAATATGTACAAAGCAAATTAAACAAAAACCTGTAAAAATATATATATTATGCATGTACGAGTATACCAATATGTACACAAAGATTATTTATTTATTAGTATATTTTTCTTTTGTAAACTCTTTGCTTTTTCTTCTTCGCTAAACTCTGTTTTTACTACAGTGAACCTTTTTATACAAATATGAAAAGTTGAAATCATTATATGTAAGTTTCATTTACCTATAATAGTGTGGATACTATTCTATTATATACTATTATATACACTTCTATTTTTATCTTACACGTGTCAACATTTAAAACATGTATTTGAATTATTGTATTGTAATTATTATATACAGTAGTAGATTATAGCGTAAACGAATATTGTGATATATATAAAATTCCTCTATTTAGTTGAACTCTTTAACCGACTTCAAAAAAGGAGGGTCTCAGATCGATTGTATTTTTATATTTGTTATCTCCTAATTCTGTCAGTCGTAAACCGATTTGGAAAACTCTTTTTTATCTGAAAGGTTATACTTACAGATTCGTCCAACAGAAATTTTATCAAAATCGATTTAAGGTTTTCAATCAAAATATTTAATCTTTTTATAAGTGGTTTATATACTTATTCCCTTATTCATAAAAACTAAAAGCTTCTACAAACCTATCTTAACTGTTTCGCTATTTCGTTACTTTCTTCCAAATAAGAAATTTACCACCGAATAAAGAAACAAAACAGTTCAATAGCCAATTTTTTTTTTTTTTTATTTATTGCGGTTAACAAAATAAAATTTTATGAGAAGTTTGATGTTTTTATGAGTAAGGACGGTGGTGAATAAAAAGGTTAATATTATATCACAGTTACTATTTAAGAAAATGCCGTGTCTATAATACCAAGGTTTTGCTGCAAAATGTATGAAATTACAAAGTTTCCGGTCATGTAGGCATTTCCATAATACACATGTTACCTGCATACTTATTTGCATACGTATGACACGTTGTTGAATTATTACATTTTCAAACAGCCTATTGCAGATCTAAGAATTAAGTAAGTTAATGGATTTCAAAGAAATTTAATAACTACCTAAACAGATAGACTATATATATTTTAGCTGTCAACTGTCCTCTAATAAACAAAAGCCTCTTCTATGAGGCGGGTTGGCAATCGCAGTTAGGCTTTCGTGATGTTTTAAAAGGGACGTTGCTGCCACTAAATGTTCCCTTTGTTACCTTTTACGATACCCACGGGAAAAGAAGGAGTGGCCTCTTCTGTGCCGGGACCAGATGGGATTTTGAATATTATTGATTAATTCATTGAATACATAGCTGGTTTTTATCCTAAAAATTTATTCTACCGTCTGTATCACAAAGAGTAGCCTAAGGTCCCGGATCGATTGGGAAAATTTGGGAAGCGAGTTGTTCCGAATCCACTTGTGTTTGGGTATCCGGGGTTGCGTCTAATCTAATAAACATCTGTATTGTCCGGTTCTGACTAACAGTGCATCCTAGAAGGACCCGAGGACTTGTGTGATTGTTTGTTATTATTTTCTCATGCTCCTACTCTTTCATTCAAATCCATTCAAATTTGGTCAACGTAATAATGAAAGCTTATATTTGCTACTTTGGGAAGAGATTGGAGGCCAGCAGTATGATGTTAGAATATTATTAAAGAAAGGAATAGGTAGGCGCATAAATCATTGCAACAATCGTTTTGACGTAATTTTATTTAGTTACTACTACATTTTATGTAAGGATAAATTATAGAAGTACTAATGTCCTAGTTTTATTTTGATTAGAACATAGGGGATTTCTAAACTTCATTCCTTTTCTTCTTTCCCTCTAAACTTAACCTTGCCGGTTACTCTGTTTGAGTGATAGATTGTTTTATCTGCTCTTCTAATACATTTAATTGTATTTAATATGGTAATATTTTATTTATTTATTTAAACGTATTATGTGTATTTTTATATTAGTCTAGTTGAACGTTTATATTATATCAATTTGATACATTCCTCTATTCAATATTTTTTACTAATTATATTTGCATAAGAAGAAAGCATACAATCATATGATTTATGGTTTTTATTTTATCATTCCTTCTACGTAGGTAATTCCTTGTTCTTAGGGATTCTAATTAATATTTTCTTAAGAAATAATCCTTTATAATATTTAACTTTATTTGTATATTTAATTATACTGTTTTATCATATTATTATTTTATTTCAAAGAATCCATTAGATGGAACTACATAATATTTTCTTTTAAAAAAACTAAAACGTTTGTAAAATTTTCAAGTGAAGAGAAGAAAATCGGTATTTGTCGATACCTGACATGTATATTCCGAAATCTTTCTGTATACTTACCTGTATATTTATCATCACATACAAACCATAATTGAAACAATGATTTTATCAAATAATGATTTAATTGTAACAATTAATTTGTATACATTTTTATGTCACGTGCGGTGAAATTATCAAACACAGTTTGCAATAACTAAAAAAAAAATAAGTAAAGGACATTAAGGACAATACTAAGAATATTTTTGTTTTTATTACTGATCACAATTTAATCCTGATTAATTATCATTGCACTTATTTAAACTTATTTATACTATATGGAAAACCCATTATCACATTCGATTACTTAAAATACAGTGAAAATAGTACATATCCGTAAATAGTGGACCAAAAACATATTTGTTTGTCATGGTCTCACTTACTATCCCTTTCTAGTCTTGACAACAGTCCTAATATCCTAAGCAAAACATAAATTGCGCTTCTATTTATTTCTCGATTTGTCCAATGGTTGACTGGTAGAGAACACTGTTCAGTGTTAAGTCCGTCATATGTACATAGTTTCACTGTTTTGTTTACACTTTAAATAAATAAAAATAATGACGTAGCGCAATGTTATTTCTGCAATAAGCCAGCTTGTTGAATGGCCTGTCTGGCGGCGTTGTTTATGTAACGGAATCTATGTGGACCGAGCTGAATCCCTCCATACCTGTAAAATGCATAATAATATATACATTTATATTATGATCCGTTTAAATATGCATTAATGCATTTTAAACTACAATTAAGCCTGGAGGTTATCTTATTAATATAATAAAATTGTAACTATACAATGTCTGTACATAGGATACATTTGAGAAAAAGTAATATATGTATGTATATATATATATATATGAGTCCGCATCTCTTAAGAGTAATAAAAGCATTTTGTGTCTGTTTGTATGTTCATTCCGGCAACACGCAAAAACTATCAGACCAAATTGCATGCGATTTTCACAGTTGTGTTCCTGTAGGTTTAACTTAAAATCTTACACGTGTTATATCGATACGCCTTAGTATACTCCGGAGTGATCTAATTTTGTCTGCCTTTCTACTTCTGAAATCAAACGCTAGTACTACCTATATATTAATATATAAAAATATTGCGTCCCGTGTTCATTCACACTAATCTTCTAAACCGGTCAATCGAATGTATTAAAATTTTGCAAGTGTAGGTATATACTTTGCACGAACGGGAGAGATAAATATAATAAAATGACAATAAGAAAATATAGATCCGATATGTGTAGCGGTAGGGAACATAAGAATTACTACTGGATCGGCTAAGAGAAATTTAAACTTACCATCTTGAAACCAC